CTTCAAAGAAAATATTTCATGTACAAACTTTGAATTCAATTTTCTGGGACATCCCATACTCGTACAAAGAACTGACCATAAGCAGAAATGCTTGTTTCCAGGTATAGAATAACATACTACAGTTTTAAAAAAATCGGCCGATCACCAGGATTCTAATATTTAGTGCCATGTCCTTTATTACTTTATGTAAATGCCATTTTTTGTAAAAAAAAAATTGGATGATAATAGGAAAGGAACCACTCCCAACCAAAAATAAAAATTCTCATTTATTAGACATTTAAACACAAAAAAGTAACAAAGAAAATGCATTTGCAGAAAAAAAATCTAGAGATGTTGCGTTAATTATCGACGGACAATTTTTCATACAATTTTTTATACAATTTTTAAGAAAAACCTAATTATGATCGGAATCGCTTTACGTTTGCTGTACAAAATCAAATGCTGGACAGACTTGCAAAATGCTGTACAATACAGCGAAATACTGTACGTATGGTCACTCTAAACAATATTATTTACTATTATATAAAACGAAACAAAACAGTAAATAATTATGAATCTGTTTTCTTTATTTTTAATACGTAACGGCAAAGTAGTAATGGTTACCAAGAATCCAAGAAAATCTAAGAAGTACTTATAGTTAAACGGTAGTTGGGGATTTTCAAGATGCAGTAATTTTTTTTTTGCAGGTAGCAGAAAGGAGCAAGTAAAAGTCCACTTGCGTAGATAGAACAGGAAAGAGGCTTGCTGATTCGGTTTGTAAAGGTGAAAATAAAATTCTTTTGAATGTTGTATGCGTAGGTGTTGCATCGTCGTTTCTCGTGTGTCACTGCGGAGGGACTGCATGGGAAACCCAACGGTGAATAATCCCTCGCCTCGTCGTCTTTGATAATAGTCATAAATTCCCATTCATTCCCAAAGATTATGTTTGATTATGTTGGGTAATCCTCAAATTACTGACTAACTGTCTATCACCCAACATAATCAAACATAGTCTTTGGAAAAATTATGTCGCAAAAAATAGCATATTGTCCTATGTTCTATTTTTTTGAAGGGAGAGTGTAATAAATCAATTCAATGTTCTGTCAAATTGCCTGTTCCATAGACGTTTCTTTTTCTACCTGAGATAATTACAAATAATAACCTTTATTAGAAACTGAAGGAAATTCCGCACGGAAAGAGTAAAGCAGGCTATTAAGGAGCATATAAAAAACGGCAAGAGACGAGAGCAAATATCAAGGTGGAAAACAAAAGCAATGCATGGTCAAATAGCTAGAGAGACCAAAAAAGAACCAATCAGTAGGTATCAATCATGGAGATGGTTAACTCATGGAAGCCTAAAGGCTCAAACAGAGGAACTAATAACAGCCTGCCAGGAGCAAGCACTTGCAACAAATTACATGAAGAAGGTTAATATAATGGAAGTCCGCTGGAGACCCAAAGTGTAGACCATCGAGCTTGTAGACTTTGCCAGGCGTATTCATCATGTTGTTTCAGGATGTCCAGTACTGGCAAGAAAAGTTGACCTTGATCGTTATAATACAGTAGCGGCACAGCTCCATTGGAACATCTGCAGGGAGTATAACAATAGGTCTGTTTCTGCAGAAATCACAAACCAGTCAGAGCCAATTCCATTGGTTGAAAACAGTCAGAGACAGTCAGAAAACTAGTTTCAACCAATGAAATTCACTCTGATTGGTTTGTGATTTCGGCAGAAACAGACTTATTAAAGTAACATTCCGGAAGTAACAATCATTTGGGACACACAAGTGCAAACAGATAGATACATTAAAGCAAATGAACCAGACCTTATATTCAAGGACAAAGGTAGAAAAACATGCCTTTTAATAGACGTGGCCGTGCCATCAGACTACAACATCACACAGAAAGAAGCTGAACAACGCATAAAAAATATAAAGACCTACAAATAGAGGTTCAAAGAATGTGTGATGATCAGTAGTATCGATTAGATCGCATATAGTACGAAAAGTCCTATAATTTTTATCTAGCGGTCACCTGGAAATGGAAACCGGAAATACCCTAGGTGCACGAGGGGCTCCCGCGGACTTTCTTAAGACAATTTAACCATAGCTAAAGAATTGCTATGTGATACCATGGAATAAATAATATTAGTAATAATAATAAATGTTTATAGTAAATTATACAGTGTTACCAGCTTTGGTTTTTGAAATGTTATGACATTTGTATAATAGGTAGGTATATCAAGATATAGAGCTTAAACACAACTTCGTCGTCTTCGTCTCAGCCTCTTCATATCAGATGCTACCTCTCAGAACATTTTACGAGCCTATTACCAAATTCAGAAATTGCTAAGAAATTAGTTGAATTCTTCTTCTAAGTCTAAACGACATAGGTACAATCATGAAATATTTTATTATCCATGATCTTAGGTTAAAGTTTTATACAAAATGCAATGATCCATTTACCACAGATTTCGGAATGAGTGTCTTGTTTGGTATATAGGTTAGCCATAACTGCTTGGAGTAAATTAGTTCATATATGGCTCTAATCCGTCCACCATATCCAATAATCCATCCGCACCCGAAGTAGCACATACATGTCCCTGCGACTACGTATTAACCAAATACAACGTCGCCAGAAGTGCAGATAAGTGACCATCAATGATTTTGAATAAACTGGCATCAGTCAAATAAAAAAATAAACAAACAATAGATATGGCGTTACTATAAAAAGTTTTTAACAATTTGAATAAGTATTTGCTTTTGTATTTTTGAAATGATATGGGACAAAAAAGGAAGGAATGTATTCCAAACATGAAGGAAATTGAGCAAGAAGGGAAATTGGAAGAGAACCCTGTAATTTCTAATTAGGAAATTAAAAAAGATTCAATAAATATCGGGTTAAAAGGAAATATTTCAAGATTTTGAACAACATCATGGTTACGATAGGTTACCATATGGGACCTATAGTCAATCTAGGTTTATATGTTTGTACTATTTTATTACCTATGTTCCTATGTTTAAATAGATTAAGTCCATTTTCATGACGAAAACACGCATTAGGTTAGGATAAGGTGCAGATTATTAACTCGATCATTTTATATATCGCAAGGTCCTATCTAATCAATCGCCATTGCTACACGTTTAATAAAAATAAAATAATATCTGAAAAATCAATCCTTCATAAGGAAATTTTGTCAAAATTATTCATTTTTGTGTAAATCGGACTTGCCCAAAGATGTTTTCGACCCATCGGAACTATATAAGAAATTATATGTAAATTACAGATTTATTATTATTATTTTTTTTTCAAACTATTAACAAAATAGGAGCCCGTTTGTTTTGTGTGCATATCATAATTTTATTTGACAGAAAAGTTGACTTCGTTTGAAAATTTTATGCCTAGAGGAGCTAGGTAGGTAGGTAGGTAAGTAGTTTCACGTATTTTATTGTTGACAAGGCCAGGCGCCATTATTATTTTATGTCCCCCAATAGGTATTCTTATAGGTACCTATTCATTTTGTTTTTAATGTGATGAGTTGGGAAATAAAATAACACCAATAATAAACCAAAAGTGCGAATTTGGTGCAATATATTAAACCTGGAACGTCCTTTATTTGGTTTGGTACCTACCTATTTGTTTTTAGGTTAGTCATGGTTCACGACGTTTAGTAAACGTTCAAATCTGGTTGTTTATTCTGACCTAAGTTAAAAATTAGTGTAGCCTCGCGACATGCGACGTCGTTACAACCATGAAATAATTCTCCATTTTGGTGGAAATAAGGGTTGTATAGTCATCTATTTGACGTCGCGCCTTAACGTCAAGACATCAATGACGACGTTGTTAGGCAGTGCTTTTACGGGACTTCTGTCCTTCCTCACTTACGCAAAAATCACGCCAAAACGAACACCAATACAACTCGCAAAATTACTTTAATTAAATTTAATCAATGTTCGCGAAACTATATTACTTTAACTGATTGCTTCACCGTCCAATTCGAAAATCCTCTTGACTCCGCTTTGCGAGCCTTCTCTAATTTCACGGAGAATTTGCTACTAGAAATCCCCGATCGTTGATTGGCCGTTCGGATTATTCCTTCAAGCCCAAACTCCTAGAATATTCCAGTCTAGTCGCATACGGGGTTAAGTGAATTCTGTATTAATTCTCTCAGTGCTGCCTTCCTATTTGCCCCACCCGCTCCACCTATGTTAGTCTGGACATTGGACAACAATAAATAAACTAAATATTATTCCCGGAGGAATAAGCTATAGGGCAGAATCGCTGTCCTGCTTTGGGTTTGATTGGTACTCAATCTATGTAATGCCCATACGTAAGATTTTTGTATTATGTTGTGGTGTGGAGAAAATATTTAATTTACTTTCTTGTTTTAAATTATCTAAACTGCTAGACAAATGAAACGGAACAAGCGAATGTTTAGGTTAACTTTGAAGTCGAATATTACGCGAACCAAATAAGATATCAATGAACGGTTTGCGGAAATATCTTTTAAATTACGCAAACCGCTCATTGGTTTATTTTTTAGCTCGCGTAATATTGGAATCTAAAGTTAAACTAAAAATTCCTTTGTTCATTTGTCCAGCAGTTTAGTATCTGAATATCTAAGTACCTACTCACACTCAGTACTCAATAAAATTCGGTAATGTTTATTCTTCTATAACTTGTTTCAAAACTCTATGTAAACGTATTCAAAATATGTTGCAGTAAATCCTATAAGTATAGCACAACAGCCAATATGCGATTTTATAATAATTCCTTTTTCACTTCTATGTGTCACCCATATCATATTCCCAAAAAACTTTCCTAGAAAAAAAATTCTAATCATCTCGGTGTTCGCTGAACTTACAAGACTTCATTAAATTTGATTTCCAAGCTGAAAAACAAAGACAACGCCATACGAAAACAGCAATTAAGAAAAAAAAACGCTCTTAAAGGAGATAGTCAATGACGAAGTGGCGTCACCAAGTCTAGATTATATAAAACGAATGATTCCTTACGCAGCTGTAGTTTGTTAACAAAGCGCACTCGAGCAAGAACCTCGGCTTCTCTTACAAATTAGAGACTAATAATTAAAGTTTTGTTAGTGCTAATTTATTTTCGCAATGGTTGAAATTGGTGATATTACCGGACAAAAAGTGGAGGTGGAACCTGTTCTAGTGCATCCTAAGAAAGCTTGCTTGACTAATGGAAGTTCCACTACAAATGGAAAAGAGTTATTAGTTGCTTTACCAAAGTGTCATTGTGTCAAAGGTAATGAGCCATGCTCTTACCACGAAGCAACAAGTCAATTACCGACTAGAGAAGCCCTATTACCTGAAATGACTAGAGCTTATAAGTCTTTACTGGGGGCTCTAGGCGAAAATCCTGACAGAGAAGGCTTATTGAAAACACCAGAAAGGGCCGCCAAGGCAATGCTCTATTTTACCAAAGGCTACGACCAAAGCTTAGAAGAAATCCTTAACGATGCAATTTTTGACGAGAATCACGACGAAATGGTTGTAGTCAAAGATATAGAAATGTTTTCAATGTGCGAGCACCATTTAGTACCGTTTTATGGCAAGGTTTCCATTGGATATTTACCATCCGGAAAAGTACTGGGACTTAGCAAACTAGCCAGGATTGTGGAAGTTTATTCGAGAAGACTACAAGTACAAGAAAGACTTACCAAACAAATCGCTACGGCTGTATTGAAGGCTGTGCAACCGAATGGGGTAGCTGTTATTGTTGAAGGATCGTAAGTTAATTTTTTTATGCTTTATTCAAATAACTAATAAATTATTATTGTATTTCAGGCATATGTGTATGGTAATGAGAGGTGTCCAAAAAATTAATAGTAAAACCGTTACGTCAACTATGCTAGGCGAATTCAGGGACAATCAAAAAACTAGAGAGGAATTTTTAAAATTAGCTCTCCATCATTAAAATTTAAATTAATTAGGTATTAATTTAACTGGTATTATTAGATTTAATCAATTGTACATTTTATATTGTGATGTATTTATTTTATTTTTATTTTTCAAATCAAATATTTTTTCGGAAGATGAATTTGATTTTCATGCTTTTGTTACACAATAAATTGTTTGTATTATCAAAAAGCCAATGATTTCTCCATGTTTCAAATGTAATAATATTTTTGATAACATATGACTTGTTTTTAATAAAATATGATGATGGTTTTTACGGATTGCGTCAGTTTTGGGTGTGGTTGAGTTATTTGTGAAAATTTACAATTTTCTGTTATTAAGCGTATAGTAGATACCTACCTAGAGTTCTTGTTTTTCTAGTAGTAAGACGCTGACCCCAAATATTGGGAGGTTTGGCTTAAAAAAAATTGTGATAGTTGGAGGTATCTATCCATTTTTGATATTGTCTTTCAGAGGAAACAGGAGGCAAAACTAAAGAGCAAATCAGCTTTTTATCAATATCTTTGAAACCAGTTTTTTGATTTATTCGGAACTCAGTTCGTATTTGTAACAATGAAAAAAAAAACTGAGAATTGATTAAACTTATGCGTTATTTAATTCACTGGCAATTATTATGGCGTTTCCGATTGGTAGATTCAGTGCGCACTGAGTTCCGCACTAAATCTACCAATCGGAAACGCCATAAGATTTATAAATGGGAAAACATAATTGTCGTGCCCCAGAAAAACTACCCGTCTTTAATAGACTTTCGACGGTTCGAGGTTTATAAAGAAACAATTCCTCTAATAACTTTGATGCACCTTTAGTGCGAAACAGCGGAAATAAATTTACAACGTGAACTATATCTGAATACTTGATGAGCGACAACTGTCAATTAAAAAAGTCGTCGGTAATACTGGTACATACAGAAAAAAACAAGGATCGTAACAACGGGATCCGACATTCTCCCACCTGAGACACTACAAACATTTTTTTCTACTACCGTGCGTAAAGTACGCACTTTACGCACTATTCAGAAGACGTAAAATTCCATGTCACACACTAGTGCGTAGAGTAATGTCAATGACAGATGTTGAAACTGTCAATTTAGTATTTTTCTGGTAAATTACTTCACGCACTAGTGCGTAAAGTGAAAATACTTCACGCACTAGTTCGTGAAGTATTTGTCTAAATCTATTTTTTTACACATATTTGATTGGTATTAGAAAAAATGTTGTATGCAATACGTGTGTAAAGCACCTTTTTTCACTCATGTTATTGTAAAAATTCACATTCGTGAAAAAAGGTTCACTTTACACACTTGTTGCATAAATAACTATTTTGTTATACAGTGTCTCATTTCAATATCTCGTTCAATATGGTACTATATGTTACAAAAGTTAAACTAAAAGTCTACAAAAATCTTCTGGGTTTGTGAATGGTACGACCAGTGCGAGTAACGTGAACGGTATCTTCCTTTACTGACGGAACGATTGGAACGAATGCATTATTTTTCACTCCCGCACTACCCGAACTATTTTCGCTGAGATTTCAGAACGACAGTCTTCATCATAATGACATTCTGACTTCGAATCATGAACCACACTGACATCAGAGTAGCGTTTTCTAGGGGTTTCATGGGGTAGGTACACATTCCTAATCATACAGTCTCTTGATAGGCCGTAACAGTTGACCTCTGTCAGTAGTCAATTTCACCAAACGCACTTGGTTGTCTTTGCCAGTCAACAATTCAGTAACTCGTCCCAAAGGCCAATCTAAACATTTAACATTTCTGTGCATCGTTACCAATCAAGACAATTTCTCCTAGTTTTATGTTGCGTCCGGATTTGGCCTTATGAAAAGATTTAAGTTGTTCCAAATATTCGCTGAGGAATCTGCGTCCTAATTCTTCTCGCAGTCTCTTCTGAAGAGCCACTCGTCGATACAAGGACTGACTGTCAAGCAGGTCTAAATCTGGAACACCATTCTCAGATGTATCTTGAAGAAATATTATTGGTCCATTTCTGAAACATCTGTCGATACATAGGTCAATGGTCGCGAATTTATGACCATTTCACAATCACACAAAACAGTGAGTAACTCTTTATAGTTTAGACATGCATGTCCAACTGTTTTACGCAAGAACTGTTTTAACACACCAATAAGTCTTTCCCAAAAGCCGCCCCACCAGTACGCAGTGGGAGGGTTAAATCGCCAGGTTATACTATACGGTCAACACAACTTTCGAAAACGATTTTATTCCAGTCCAATTTTCCAATCGTGTTATCTGTCCCCACAAAGTTTGTACGTTGTCACTATACATTGTCCTTGGTCGACCGCGTCGTGCGATAAATCGTCGCAAAGCTTGCATAAAATTTGTCGCCGATAACGAAGTAGAAAGCTCAAAGTGTACCGCACAGGTGAAAAGGCATATCCAGGCTTTTTCACTGCCTTTCAAATGCAATGGGCCCGCAAAGTCCACACCGGTCCCCTCGTCGCGAACACGATCAAAAGGTAATGGAACAACACTTACTTGGAACGGTTATGTCGCTTACACACACAGCATCTTGATATTGCCGACTTTATTGCACGACGACCACCCAAGACCCAGAAGTTCTCACGCAAAATAGAATAGTCCTTGAGTTCCAACATGGCAATGTTTTACGTGGGTATCAAACACAATATTCGTCACTATAGGATGCTCTGAGGGCAATAACACCGGAAATTTAAAATGTTCCTGGTCATCCCTAGAACTTATTCTTGTTTTCAGACGAATAAGACCATCTTTCTCTTTAAATGGATTGTGCATCGACAAATTATTCTCTTCAACTCATGCAAAATTTCCGCTCCATCAATTTCTTCCATCGACAGTTCTTCATGATACTGATCCAGTGGGTTTCGTATATTGTACAAAAGCCTGAAGAGCCATGCAACCATACGTAGCGCCAATCTTGGAAGGTCATAGTTATTCCAGAATTTGTATTAATTAATGTCGTCACCAACTTTTTTTTCTTTTCACGGATTATTTCTTCCTCATTAAATTGAATCGTGCATTGAGGCCAAGATTCTGGGTTTCCATAAAGCCAACTTGGGCCCTCCTACAATTTTGATTCTACTAACTTTTTAGCACAACAACGCGCGATGACAAATCCGTAGGATTTAGCATCCTCGGAACATGACGCCACATTTTGACTGAGGTGTGCCGTCTAGTCTCAGCTACACGATTTTTCACACAAGCATCTCAAGAAAACGACTGCTGCATAATAATATGCTGTTCGTCTTGCATCGGCAAATGTATGGAGACTCAAGTGCTTCGCCGCTCCTGATCCGGCATGTTTCCATCTAGGTATTTGAATGTCAAACAAATAGGAAAGGTCCTTCAATCATTTATGGAAAAGTTTTCCAGTTTCAGGATCCACATTTGCGCCCCATGTCATCTCCCAGGTCCCCGGTCCTTTGAAGGAGCAATTTTGGAATTAATGTCGTAGGGCTTGTAAAGCCAAATGGATCGAAAATTTTCTGAGCTAGAGACAACATTTACCGTTTAGTTACAGGCTCATTCAATAACTTGGCCAAATCCTTTAAGCACTCTTTACTTATACCTAGCATGTCAGTTTCAGATTGCCAGATCATTCCTAGTAATCCTGTGTGTTGAGAAGAGCCAGTGACTTTCAGCTGGTGAGTGAACTCCCACCCTAGCAAATCAAATTTGGCCTCAGCCATGACCATACTAGACTCCTGTATAAAACTCTTCAATGTGACATCATCGGAAACACTTGTCACGCAGTTATCTACATAAAAGCTCTTGGATAACTTATCCAAATTTTCCTTACAATAAGGTCCCTTTTCTGTCATGCACTTTTCAAGAGCCTTGGCAAGATGATATTCAAGAGTGGCTGCTAGCAAAAATGAACTACTGCTCTGACTCGCATATGACGGAACACTTTCTTGCCATTGGAATCCACACAGAGGAAGCGTAAAAAATCTCTGTTTGCTTCATGTATACTGATGTGAAGAAAAGCTTTGCGTATGTTTGCTATAACTCATATTTTACCTTGTTGTCGAAATCGTAGTAAAATATTTGGAATTAATTCGATCAAATTAACCTCCCTCTCCAAACACTGATTTAATGAAGGGGCATCACGTTCCTTGGCTGAAGCATCGAAGACAGGTCTCATGCTCGCGGTACTACCCACCCTATTTTACTACAGTTCTGTGTGGGCTGTGTGGCAAATAATGAGCAACATCATCGGATATAGTCATAGAATATTTGGTTCAAATGTCCTCTATAATATGTTCATTTTCCCATTCATTGAAAATTTGATTGTTGGAATTTACAAGGTCATTATTTGCCAATTTGTTGGTGCTAGATGGACATTTCTTGGCCAGATGATAATTCGTAGGCAAAGGGGGGTGTCCGCCGACCCAAGGTAGTCTAACTTCATAACGTCCATCTGCATTAATATTCACCGTTTCAAGGAAAAATTCTGTAACTGCCTGAGACAATTGGTCATTTGATTGCTTTTCGGTAGGTTCCTTCATACCCAGAGTATCAAGCTGCCAAAGTTGAGTAAGTGATGCGTCGTTAACAAACAAAGAAATAGTTGTAATAGTTCCATGTTTAGTTTTGTCTATAGGTATTCGGCCCATAAGTGTCCATCCTAACAATGTTTCCATGGCCACCAACTCACACTTCAAAATATGTCTTCTTCCAGTGTAGAGTTTGCCAGCAACGTCCGATCAAAATACTTTTTAATAAGATCAGGAACTTGTGCTATGTTAGATGGCCAACCCCTATTACAATATCCATTAAAAGTATAAGCTCATCATCTTTAGATGTTTCTACCTGAAATTCTATTTGCCGCTCGTTCGACAAATTTATTGAATGAACAATATCAGTTAAAAAAATTCTGATCAGAACCAGACTCCCTAATATAGTTATGTGAAAGCAAGTCAGATATGAGCATCTTCTTACCAGGCTAATGAACAATTACATAATATTTCAAAAGTTTTACTTTCATTCTTTGAAGGCTTGGAGATAGCACTTCGGCAACGCCCTATTTCATTATTGCCTCAAAGGCTTACGATCTGTATGAATGACAACATGATGCCCATAAATATAGTTATGGAATTTTTGTCAAGCATAGACCACTGCTAGAAATTCTTTTTTAATTTGACTGAAACGCGTTTCAGCTGCTGTTAATGATCGTGATGCGAAAGCCACTGG